AAAGAGGCACCAAAAAGTACACCACAGAGATTGGTGTGACACTACTATGATGGCTCAGACAGCAAGCAAGAATCCAACTTTGGACAATGAGTGTCAGGGCTGCAGTCTAATAATAAATCTGATCTTTAATAAAGCACTTATCTATATGTCTTAAATTGTGGCATGGGAGTAAGTATCATTATCTCTATTCTAAAGACAGGAAAATGAAATCCAGATAAATTGGGTTATTTGCATAATGTCCTATCAGAAATGGTAGAGCCAAACCAAAAGTGCAGGTTCTTGATTCCCAAACAGTATTTATTCATTCAACCATAGTCACTATTGTTTGGATTTAAAGGTTGTTTCCATACTGTAACATCCTGATCCTACCAAATTCCAAGAGCTGTTTATCAATAAGAAGCCCCTACCCATAGCCTACACAAAGAAAGATACTCAGCAGTAGAAAAATCTTGTCCACTAAAGAAATGCAGCCATCCCTGGAGGGAAGACATGATAATTATTTGAGCAATGTTCACTACGCAACAGTTTTAATAAAACAAACAAACAAACAAAAATTTGTGCATGATCTTCCACAGTAATTGCTAGGTGACTATTTCAGGCTGACAAAATTTCTGCCTGACCTAGAACTCGGTGGAGACACTCAAATGAATAGCCTTGTTCTCTGCAAAATCAGCATGGCTTTTTAGTGACCAGCCTGATGAGAACTTTGGTTTGAAGTGGTGTTTGTAAGACTGTTCACTGCAGGGCAGCACGTGTGTAAGCAATGCTCGGGCACTGCGTCAGTACTTTCTGTAGTACTTATGCCAAAATTTGACATTTGGTGGCGCAGGCAGACCTGTTTAAAGCAGCTTAATGCTAAGGAAGACCCATTTAAACGACTCCCTGACACAAACACATCATCCTTCTCATCCCCTGTTGTTCCAGTATAAGTGTCTATGCAGCAAACCGAACCAAAGAAACCACTAGACTGAAAGGCAGCAATTTCTTTTTGCTGAGTTACTTTTCAGCTTTGTTTGTTCCCACATTCAGTGCTTAGCATGCATAGAAAGAAGAGCAGCTTTGGAATAAGCAGCTGAATGGGGTAGGCGGTGGTGACTGTTTGAAGTTACCATTATGACACCAAAACTGTTTTTTTAACAACACCCTTAAATCCCAGTATCATTCAGGTTGGAGTCAATCTCTGGAGGTCCTCTGAGCCACCCCCAGGTCAAAGCAGGGTCCATCTAGAAGATGGCTCCAACTTCCAGGTTAAATTGGGTTAGTCAAGGTCATATCCAACCAAGTTTTGAGTATCTCTAAAGATGGAGGGTCCTTAAAAGTTCCCAGCAGATCTCTGCAACTATTGAGTCATGATTCCAGTGGTCTGGGTGACATGATAGGATAACAGTTAAGGAGATGTGCCCAAAAATATAGAAAAGATTGAGCTGTATTTTAAAAAATAGTTTCAAGTACTGTGATTTTAACATGCGGTGTTACTCCTACTGAGGTATGCTTGTTCATCCTTTAGCAGTTGCTCCTTACTCACCTTTTGTATGCCCACAGACTGACGAACATTCAGCTTTCTTTTTCTTTGAAAGGTGTCCAAGTCCCACAGTTGTGCTGTATCAGTGGATGTAGTGATGGCATACCTGCCCGAGCCATGGACAGAGATGGAAGACACCGAAGAATCATGTCCCCTCATCCAACTAACTAGCTCCTTGGTTTCTGCAGGAGTTGATGAAAAAGATGAAAAGAATATGAAAGTCATTCAAAGTGAAACAACTACTACTTTAGCCTTTATTGCCAACACTATGCCGTGAAAGAGACTTTTAAGCATACCTAGTATATGACCATTTACCATCACAGCCCAACAAACAAGAAACAAAGGTATCAGTCTTCATATAGTTATTATACCTTAGAGAAACATAACCATCTCTTCATCTCCAAGTAACAGATTTCATGTTATTCTCAGTTCTACACAGAAAGCCAAATTGCAGAGACTTGTTTAATTTAGCCTAAGAATCAATCTTAAAAAGTCATGAACACTGAGATCTGCCTCATAGGCAGATTATCCGATGTGAACACCCACAGTAATCTCTAGAAGTTGAGACTGAATGTTCTAGTTAGAATTCTCCACTTGTTTTTACTTGTGGACAATATGCATGGATGATTACGCAGCTATTTACAGGTGCAAGGAAGAAAGGTTTAATGACAACAGGCTATGACTATAGAAAGGCACAGTCAGAAAGCAACACCTCATTAATTCTTTTAGAGTCCAAAACACTTTTATGCTGTGTATTGCATACTAAGGAAATGGTTCCTCTGAATACATTGTCTCCCACTTGTGACTGCATGACCACTAATCTTCCCTCAGCAACCAAACTGTATTTGTGGCAATCACACTATTTACGTTGGGTAGTTTGCCTGACAGTCCATGGGGTGGTTCCAGCTGACCTAATGCTGTGGCATCAAAGATGGGAAATGGCTATAAAGCAGCTCATGAAGCCTAACAGTCAAACTTTCTGCTCTGCTTATGGACAATTGAGTGCTTAAAGCTATTGTCACATGGGAAGATGACATGGGATTACAGAGTACGGCTTCTAAAGCAGGGGGTGGAACCCACCAAGTAAGTATTATCTAATACACCTCTAAGGATAGTTTACCCAATACTGACTTATGTGAATAACATTTGTATTTTAAAACATTCTTTAGTATGACTTGGTATCTGGAAACAGCACCATATAAACATGCAGGACTCTGTGGAATAATTAAGAAGATTTCTCTAAGTGCATCCAAAATCTAAGTTTGGTCTTACTATGGTTGAAAGGAGGAGAAAAAGCAGAGGATTTCAGACCTTAACTATGACTCTTCCTCTATTTTGGGAAACAGTGTGTTACATTAAAATCTTCACTAATAATATCAGACCCTCAAATTGCAGATGAGTGATTCCTACGGCTTTTGAAAAAGATTTAAATCCAGATGGTGAGAGACACAACAACTGCACTTTTTGACAGGTTAAGGTTAACTGATGAAGAATGAATTGTCAGTGACTTTCACCGTTTAACTTCTAATCAAGAGAGAGACACAGCTGGCCCGTGAAGTTAATTTTAGATATCGCTTTTGAATAAGGATACAGATCTACTTGCATACTCAAAAGTAGTGACAGTTCTTTTAGTGTATATTGTCACTTTGTTAAAATATTTTACTGTAAATATAGTTAACAACTGGTTCAGTTGCAAACTAACATACTGCCGACTGATTTTAGTTTGATTTTACATACAGCACCTCATTCTAAGCAAACATACAGAATTGCTTTAAAAATATAACTGGGATCCTGTGCTAGACTTCAGTTAAACAGACGCCTGCGTGACTCAATGGGAACAAGAAACTTTGACAAAGCAAAGGGTTCGTTTATCCACAGGACTATAACCCCCACGGGCCCAAACTGTGGGGGTTTTTCTTGGAAGAACAGATGGCATAAAACACATAATAAGATTTCCATCAAAAAAACTTTAAAAAAATTGAGATTGAAACTAAAATGATGTAGTTTTTTAGAACAATCCGGATAGTAAGCCTTTAAATTTCTCCTTACCTGTATCAAAGCACTTAACGGAATAATCTGCCAAAGCCACCAGGAATTCTGTCTTTCTGCGAAGATTAAAGGCCAAAGCAGTGCAAGCCTGCATTGTCCGCTGAACAAGGTTGAACCTATTTAAAAATATATGTTCTCATTGTGTTAGCAAACTTGGGTTCATAATGTCAACTGAAGTAATAACTTAATCAGTTTCAATATATTTCACTGAAAAACATAACTCAAAAGAGAGCAAAGAAATATCTAATTATGATAAATATAAAAATATTAAAACTCAGTAGTGTAAAATTGAAAAGACTGATTAATATATTTCTGCAAATGACAATACTAGGTCTAATTTATTGTAATTCATGGCTCATATTATTAATTGATTGGTATCGTTCAAAGCATAACTTCTTGTGGTAGTATTTAATCGCTTAAGTTCTATGAAATTGCTGTTTGCTCAGTTTAGAGTTACAAACTACTGATCTTTTGGAGCAGCTAAACTAATAAAATAATATTTAGGGAGCCTACAGGGGCTTGCAGTTTCAGCTCTGAGAAAACCACTGTCTGTTTCCACATTTGTGGAAAACTGAGGGTTAAAACCAGACCTGTGGCATGCTGTCCAGGCAAGTTCCATACCTCTGAATGTTACAGATGTGAAGACAATTAAAATGTCTCGATAGAAATACTCTTACCTGTTTCCATTCAAGTCAAAAACATATATATTCCCTTGGTGGTCTCCAGCAAGTAGAGAATCTCCGGAACTGTCAAAAGCCACATTCAGAAAACGTATTGTCTTTGAATGGCATCCTTTGACACTATGAATTATGTTTACTATAACTCTGTGAAGAAAGCAAGCAAAACAACCATGCTTAGAACTGTTTTATTATCATATATTTCTCCAAGACCTAGGATTAAAATGTTCCTAGCTTACGGTTTTACAATTCTAATCATTCATAGTGTTCTATGAAAAATCTTCTTCCATGAAAAATATGTATTTCTAATATAAAAAATACACTAAACAAAGGAAGTCATTCACTATGTTGGAAGGTAGTTAGGAGACAAGTAAAGCAGATGGGGGAAATCTACCATTCTGATCCTTTTATGTGGCTCCTAGTTACCTGATTTTCAGTTATATTATTAATGACTAACATATATGCTGATGTATCATCTACCAATGCATCTGAAAGCCCAGTTCAGCACTCAGCAAGGAACCTGGCTTTTCATTATCACTGTAAAGAAACATGGTAGAAAACTGAGAAGCTATGAATTACTGTAAGAAACCACTTGGATTAGATGGGGGTGGGGGGAAATTTTAATACCACTTCTTTCCAGAGTCTTCAAAAGCATGAAGCAAGCCATTTTTATCATTATTCATCTGAGATATTGTGGAACAAAAGTTGCTGTTTTTTCACATTCTACCCTTGTACCATGCTGTTGGCATAAAATGATGCAGAACCAAAGCCCATGTGCAGAAGAAGCCGTAAGAGGAAGGTTTTTCCAGGAAGCAGGACATTAAGATTTGGGAGATCTGCCTACTCCTGGATTTTTTTGGCTAACACTGGGCAAACCAATTATTTTCTATCATCACTTGGATGTAAACTCAGAGTCAAACTAAATATCTAAAACTGTACAGGATATTGGGAGGCTGCTTAAAGACTGCAGGGCACTTGCAGAAGACTGTGACCATGGCTATATAAGATGCTGATAGCTATCTGAGACACCAATTTCTAAGAGAGCATAATATGCCAATCCAGCACCTGCATGCAACTGTTGGCGTATGTGATAAAGTGTGAGTGAATATCAGAAGAAGAAGGGCCATGCAGCCATGGTACAGACTAGAGACAAAACTAATTGTACCTCATTCTGTTAAGCCCATTCTTTTCTGTGATAAAAGGGAAGGGCCATAAAAATGAAATTAGAAAGATGTTAAGCTAATTTAAATTATAATTAAAATGTAGTGATGTTAGGGCCTTTAGTGTCATAAAAAACCCCACAAGCAAAGCATGACTTTTGATTCTAAAAACACCCTGAAATGCGAGTACTTATCAGTGTAGTTACAGCATCTCCCAGGACTTCCCCAACACCACTCTCTGCCTTTCAAAAGTTCCTTTGCCACTAAACTAACCCAGGAGAATAAAGTTAGGAGTTCACAGAGCTGCATCCAGGTTCCCTGTGTCAAAGAGTATACAAGTACTCCAAAGCAGCATTCATACTGCTGCTCTTCAGCTTGGGCCAGACAGTATTTTCCTAGTATTTCACACTTTAATTAAACTCTCGTGCGAATTCGCTTATGGTATTTTGTTCAATATACAATTAAAACAAAAAAGCTAAATTGGGAGAGCTGTCCAGGCCCTTGCCCAGCCAAATTGTGAGCATCTCTGAGCACGGAGGTTTCACAGACCCCTTGGGGACCTGCTCCACCTTCAGCGGGAACGTTTTTCTCCGTTATCTAACCGGGCATCCGCGGGCTGGCCCTCCAGCCTGCAGAAGCTCAGGTGGGCTCCAGCTGGCCTGCCTCCTCCGCCCCCTCCCCTCGGCCCGCCCACTCTCTCGGCCTCTCCTC